GGAAGAGAGAGGGAGAGAGAAAGAGAGGGAGCGGGGAGAGGGGTCCGAGAGGGGCCGATAGCGCTGTCTATTTGGGATCCAAGGGGGTCGCCCAGTGTTCTTGATCCGCACGGGGGCTGACGACGATTGCAACTCCCACAAGGGAGCGGGACTCTCGATCGGGACCGGATCGGGGCTTGGGGGAGAGGAGAGGGGTGCTACGGGTAACGGAGCTAGGGGGAGAAAGAGAGACACCTAGCCGTCATAGCGAGGGCATTCGAGAAGAGGAGGGTACTTGGGGGGCCTTGGACGAGGGATCGGAGGCCGACTCCTGGGTGGACCAGTGTTTAGCCGATTTCTCGGACTCGGAACTAGGAGACCATTGGGACTACGATAACGAGTATTGAAGAGTCAAGGTAAGTTTACTTATCAACCTCACCTGAGAGCCTCTTCCTAAAGCTCCGCTCTTCCCATCCTTTTTTTTTTTTTTTTTTTTTTTTAATTTCCCGATAGTCCAGTGATTCCAAGAGAGAAAAGAGGCAGCAGGAGGCGAAAAAGGAAGAAGGGAACGAAGTACGGAGAGTTCACGATGAGGAGAATGGAGGGGAGTAGATAGGCTAGCGATTTTCGATACATAGGTGGATCTTGTCCTGGGACCCGGGTAATTCCACGCTTGAGGAGGGCCGAGTAGAGGCATGGTACCGGATAGGCTAATTAGGACTAGAGGTCGGTTCAGTGGGGGACATAGGGCGCGGGTGTGTGACTTCGGTCCGACTCCGAGGAGGGGGTTGCCACCCTTCCTCGGGGATAACCTGTGTCTGCGGCTAGTCTCTAGGCCGGGAGTGGGGAGGAGTCTCTCAGCGGGGGAGGACAGGAAGGTAGCCGAGTGAGACAGCGCTCCTTCTCTGGTCCATTTGATCCTTCTGAGCTCACAGGCTTCTCTTCCTCGCGGGATAGAGGTGGTCTCTCGAGTGGCCAAAAGGAAGCAGGTACTTAAAGAATTTTCCTTTGATTACGCTGTATGAGCCTAGAAGCCGTTCCCGAATGGATTAGTGTGTGTACGCACAGAAGTGTTGACGTGTGGTGTTACTCCTTTAGATTATGGACGGGGGACTTTGATGTAGGTGTCTATGTGGAGGAGGGGCAAGATCAAGGAGAGGACTTCCTTCGTGGCTGGGAAAAGGCAATAGGCGACTCCCGCTGTTCGCGGGGGAACTAAGGGATTACGGGTACAAATATTTCTATTCTCTAGGATATCGAACTTGCCCGAGGGGTGGTCGCCCGGCGCCGGTGATTCCGGACGCGTATCTTGATGGATCGGATGGATGGAAAGTACTAGTGGGGATAGTGAAGCGTATCCATGAGCTTGAGGCCTTTGGAGTTTGAACCCGCAGGGATTAGTGTAGCTGATATAGGCGGAGTAGATGTTTGGTGCTATACCTTCTACTGGTGGACCGGGCACCTCGACATAGCCTTGTACGTGGAAGAGGGTGTAGACAGAGCGGCAGGGTATCTGGATAGCTGGGAGAAGGCGATCGGTCACGCTCAGCTTGAGAGGCAGCTGCTGGGGGCTTACAAAATTAACTATTTCTTCTCGTTGGGGTGTAGGACGTACCCGCAAGGGGGTAGGCTGGTCCCCACTATTCCGGACGCCTTCCTGGACGGGTCGGACGAGTGGAGAGCACTAATTCAAATCATAGAGGAGATAGTCCTAGGGGATGGTTAAAATCATAGAGGGTACTGAGGAAGAAGGGGTTCGGATAGAGAAGGCTGACTTAAGCAAGGACCGAGAGTGCTTCACTGTCCCCTTAGACCACCGCACGGAGCGGTATCTAACCGGTCGAGAGAGGGGGGTAGAGCTAGAGAGAGGGGTTTTTCTTTGGGCTCGTTTCGCGGTAGGAACCTGGGAGGGGGACAGGTGGTCTCGGAACAGGCCCTAGAACGGGAAGAGACCCAGGCGAACACTGATCCATGCGGAAGGAACGATCTACTTGAGTAAGGAAGCTTGGGTTGAGTACGTCACACGTTTGGTCCAGGGGTGGTACCGTGCGGATCATTGGGAGGCATGGGCAGGACCGATTTTGAGGCAGATCTTTGAGGCGGACCCCGTTAGACACTGCCCAACCGTCGAGGTAAGGGTGACCTGCATGCGAGACGAAGAGTACCCCCGTGCCACAGGGTGCGTCAAGGCCATATTCCCATCATTTGTTTTCCGAAGGGTGAGCAGGAAGGAGGAACGGTACGACAGGGTCGTGCTGTCCATAGTGCGGGAAAAGGGGTGGCAGCTCTCTGTTAGGTCACTCCATTGGTACTACACTTATTGCGTGGTTAACACTGGTGCCGTACGGGATCAAGGCTGGTAGGATTCGTGCCGGGATCTTTAGGGAGTCCACCCGAGACCGCGAGGGAGGAAGGGACTACGGATACCAAAGGGTCTTCGGGGTGCCACAGAGGATCTTCTAAATGAATGGTGTTCCATGATAGAGAGCGGGGATGCTTCTTAGAGTCCCCATTAGAAGACAATGCGGCCCTTAGGTTGATCCCTAGCAACAGGGAGCTTCCGGATTGGGAAAGGATAGAAGAGGGGAGGTCCACTGTCAGTGGGGAATTTGTGTGGGTAGAGTCCAAAGAAGTGGAGGGCCAAGGTATTGGACGAAGCCTGAAAGTAACCGCGGTTATTTTCATATCACCGAAAGCTTGGGCGAAGCTTGTAGTACCCCTAGTTCTGGGACAAGGGGGTGGGCTGGAAAAATTGTTGCGAGAGGCGAGAGAGGTAAGAAGAGATTGGGTAAGTAGGGTTAGAAAACAATTTGCATTCGTGTCCATGGAAGGGGAAAGGTTCGCGAGGAAAGGAGAGCTCCCAAGGTCGAGATACCCCTTGACTCTGAGGATGCCGTCTTACCTGTTCCCTAGGGCAAACGAGGAAAAGATAGTGCGTCTTCTAGAGAGGGGTAGGAGTTTGGGCCTTACCTTCTGGGCCCTGTGGGTATTGTATACGCACTGCACTGATCAAGGTATTCTGCCACGCAGGAGACTCTGGGGTATTTTTCGTAGACTAGGTTCTCCAGAGAAGACCTGCACTCTCTCTCCGAAAGAGTATCACATGTGGGTCTTTAGGGCGACGAAGGCCGATGGTGAAGTTCGTTCTCAGTGAAGAAGGGGTGGTAAAATCGATAAAGGCCGGTGACACCGAGAAGGTTTCGATTCCGGGAGACCCTCAGGTGACTCTGTATTGGATGAGCGTTGAGAAGGGGGGATTAATCAGAGAAGGGACATACGTGTGGGTTCGAGCGCAAAGGCTCACTTGGAAGGAGGGTGTGGAAAGAGGAGGTCCACCCGACCTCGGTCGCTTCCTAGAGATCCGAGCAACCATTTTCTTCGATGAAGAGAGGTGGACCGAAGTTGGGAGAGGGTTGGTGACCGGGCAACTTACGCACCTTGAGTACCGAGAGTCCGCAAGGCTGTTGACAAACAACCTGGTGTTAGCTGACTATGAGGAAGGGACTTTCGAGTCGTGGTCACTAGTTTCCTTCGCCGAGCCCGGAGAGGTCCCTCGCGCTTCCGGGGTCCTTCACGCTAACCTGCCTCAGTTCGTGGCCAGTTCGTTCCTAAGGGACCCGGAGGAGAAGGTAGTAGCAGTGCTTAGAGCGGCTCGGGAGTCCGGAGTGCAGGCTAGGGGGTTGTTCTGGCTTTATACTCGATGCGTGGACGCGGGAATTCCCCCAAGAAGTGAGCTACCCGCCATATTCGGGAGATTGAGGGAGTTCGAGGGGCTACGATCCCTCATCGCGGACATTCCCTACGCTCGACTCTTCGGAGAAGAGCAAGTGGCTAACCGGAGGGGTTTCGAGGGCCGATGATAAGGAGGATCCCGAGAACTCTCTGGGCGACCATAGAGCCCGTAGAGGATACCGGGGAGGTTATCCGTGTCACCTTGCCTAGGGCCCGGTTGACTGAACCAACTAGGACTCTCCTACGAGAAGAGGGGGAGATCCGGCGCGGTAAGGCCTTCATACGATTTGCGGTGAGTCGCCAGGGGGAGGACGTAGTTGGGGAAGCCCGAATATTCCTTTTGAAGGAGGGTTTTGTTGAGGTAGCGCATAGCTTGCGCCTTGGACATGACCCTCTCGGGGACGCTCGAGCCGTGAGAGGCCGGCTAGGGGAATCAGTAGAGGAGTTGGGCCCTCACGAAGGGTGCAACGAGGAATATATGGTGACCTACGGAGGTTGGGAATAAATACCGCGGTTCATCTCCAGCGAGTCGGTGGAGGTCCCCCGTTTCATTTTTAAGCGGGTTTACCCCTCCGAGGCTGTTAAGAAGGCGGTAGGACGGAGGGTTTCCATCCTAAGTCAGTTCAGGCTCACGGGATCAGACCCTCACACCTTGTTAACTTGGTGTTTTCGCGATCCCTATAGAGACGATTGGGCGACTCTGGAGGACCTGAGTTATGCATTTGAAGGATGGGGTCGCCACGCGAGGGAATCTAAGATATCGTGGAGATACCTAGGTGAGATCTGCGAGGGAGAGCTAGCAGGGCTGGACCCCTCTGACTTGATTCGGGTAGCGATTGGGTGTCGTCGACGAAAGTTAAGGGATGACCGAACCGGACCTTGAGGAGCTTGTGGGGTTGGATAGAGTGAGGGAAGAAGTTCACAGGATCCTTGCTCTGTGCTGAGAAGAACAGAGGAGGGCTAGGCCCGGGTCGTTAGCCACAATCAAGCTGCTTGAAACGGCCACGATCGCTATCGTCGACGAGGTCACGATAGACCTTCTCTCGCGGTGAAGGGATGAGAGCCACGTTCGTCTCCAATAGGATTCGTTGGGAGTTAGAGACCTACGAGGACGGAAGCGAGGTTAGGGTCGAAGGGAGTGCGGAGCTTAGCGCGGCATTGGAGGAGGGCCGGGTAGTCCGCGCTGAGATGGAGTTTCTAGTGGAGGTCCGACGACTGGCTTTGTGGAAGAGAAGGAACTGGACCACGCAAGCTACCTTCTCGGTCTACATTAGAGACGCGAGTGGCGTGAGATTTTCAAGGATTTGGAGGGAGCCTTTGTTGGAAGTAGAAAGGAAGTTCGAGGAGGACTCACGGTTTCTGGGGACGCCACTGATGTCTAGGACACACCTTATAGAGATCCGATTTTGGGATCGAACGGGAGAATACGAGGAGGCTTTGCGCCAAACTCTGAGAGGGGACAGAGAGGTCGGTCGTATTAGGTGTGAGGATTCACTGGTAGAGGCCACCGCGAGGTTGGAAGGCGTGAGGTGAGGTTCCTATGATTAGATACGAAAGGTGAAACCCCTACGGTACCTTGGATAGGGTTTTGGCGTGGGGAGGGGAATATGGAGTGACCCTCCCGAAAGTTAGAGGGGAAGGGGAGGTAACTACCAAGTTCTTCGAAATTTACGAGCAGGAAACAGTGGTCTGGTTTTCAGTAGTATCCGAGGGGAACAGTTGCATGAGAAAGGCAGAAATCTTTTTGTCCCCTGATGCTCGGCTGATCTTCGCCACTTAATTAGCGGAAGGAAAAGATCCTCTAGACATCGCCGCGAGAGCTCTAGAGTGAGAGAAGAGATTGAGGAGAATTGGCACCGGGGATCCCGTGATTGATAGGGTTGAGTACCGAGGGAGGTCAGAGGTTCCCAGGGCCGCCCACGGGAGAACTTGGACCGTCCCTACCTGGGCCTATCGACTGCTCTATGCTGACGACGAGACCGTGAGGAGAGTCCGATTGAGGGGTCAAGTAATAGAGAAATTCCCTCTAGGTGAAGAAGGAGGCCACGAGCTGTTCACCCAGTGCTGGGAGTCGAGGGAAGACACCGACTTCGAGTGGTGGGCCCGCGTTGGGGAATTCATCAAGCCCCTGTTCTCCGGGCAGGCGGGTGATGTGGACAGGGATCTGATTAGGAGATGTGCGCAAGAAGGGATTAGGGTCATTTCGGACCTTGAAATCGCAAATCTTGCGTTGGCCGCTAGCGAGGAGAAGAAGCTGAGAGATTCTTGGTGGATGGTGACCAGTGAGGAATCAGAAGGAGAAGGGGCTGACGAGGATTCGAGTGAGGAGAAGGGGGGATCGGAGGAGGAGAAGAACTCAGGAAGTAACGGAGACAGTGGTGAGGAGGACGAGCCAGGTAGTAACGCAGACGACAATGAGGGAAGCGACTAGAAATAGCCAATAAGGGTGCATGGAGAGTGAAGTGGGGGCTGGTCTCCCCAGTCCGCAGGAAACCGCTGAAAGAAGGGGGATAGTGAAGAGCCCCGAGTTGGGGGTCAGTCTGAGTAGGGTAGTGGAGGCAATGGCAGGAGGGGCGGAAGCGCTAGATAGGGCTGAAGGAGATCCTGAAATGGCTCCGGGAGAAAGACAAGCTGCGAGGGGCAAAGGTCTAGCACGGAAGTATGAGTGCACAGGGATGTGGGGTCGCGGGTGCCGATGAGCGAAGGGGTAGCGGAAGCCGCGAGGGGCGTTTCGGTGGAGTCCTGGTGGGCTGACCTAATGGATGCGAAAGCAAGGTTAGAGGGAACACGGGATTTTCCCAGAGATAGACAGGGGTATCGACCACTTAGGGGGGAGGAAGAAGAGTGTCGGGACAGGAGAGACTTGCGAGAGGGGGGGTCAGCCGAGGCCGACGGACGGACGAGGAGATGGGTCGAAAGGATTCCGGAGGCCGTCACCAGTGAGAGACAGGCATTAATGGGACCAAGGACTGGCACAGAGAGGCGAATGCCTGCGTGGGAAGGGACGATCGAGGGCTCGAGGGGCCTTCCTATAGAACACTGGTGGGGGGATTTACCGGACGCAAGAATGGGAGAAGCCCTGGAATTACCAAGAGATAGGGGGGGGTACCGACCACTCCGGAGAGAAGAGGAAGGGGGACCAAGTAAAAGCGGGCTTAGAGACGAAAGGCCGGCGGAGGCTGGTAGCAGGGAACGTACATGGGCCGTGAGAGAAGTGGATGCTGCATGGGCACCTGGAGAGATAACGGGTAGAAGTCAGGGGATAGAGGCCCGGAGAGGCTTTGGAGGGCAGGACCACGCTCGGTGGGATGCGGATTGGCTGGATGAGCGGGGCCGCTACGAGGAAGACCCCTGGGAGCCGTCAAGACCTCGAGGCCGTTTAGAGGAGCCCGATCCTTTGTGGTACAAGCCATACGATCCGGCAATCAATGGACCGATGGAAGGTCCCTATTTTCGTCGATATGACGACCGGCGGATGCCCTATTATGATGTCAACCTGGGTCCAGAGGCGCTTTTTTTCGATGGACGAAATGTGACCAGGTTCGTAGAGAAATGGGAAAGCTACGCTTACCGCAAGAGATTCTCCGAGAGGGAGTGGATTGATTATTTCATCCAGCACTCGGATCCCGAGTTAGACACCGCGATCCGAGCTATCTACCCTTCCGACGGACGATGGAGGACCTTCAGGGCAAGCCTATTGCAGACTTTCGCCTGTGATGACCTGATCCCGACCGTGGAGGGCTTGAGACGTATTACAAGGGGGGAAAGGGAGAGTTTGGTAGCCTTTACCCGTAGGTTCAAGCGTCTGTCCCAAGCCCTAGTGGATAGGGGCATGCTATCCGAGGTAGACAAGTGCGTAATGTTCATGCTGCATCTACCCGAGGAAAAGAGGAAGGAGGTCCTTGAGAAGGCCCTGAGGGATTCTGCAAATTTCAAGAAAGTTGCAGAAGTGGTTTTCACAGGAGGAGGGGTAGACGTGAGGGAGTACATGAAAGAAACCTTGGACATGGCTCTCCGCAACATGAGAGAGGTGTGCGGAACGATGGTCCAAGAGGGGGCGATAGACCGCCCCCGGGTCCCCCTGTTCCCCGGTGGGGAGAACGGCCTACCGGATGGAGGAACAAGTCGAGTGGCCAATGAGGCTGGAGGAACGACCGGGAGATAGGGGGGAGTCATGGTTCCGATTGGGGGAGTTCCCATTGGAAGGATGCTAGGGATGGAAGGTGGGGAGACACCTCTCAAGCAAGGGCTTTTAGACCGCGACCGGAGGTTAGGGCGCCACCGCCGCCAGCACCACCACCACCGGCTCCGCCTGCGCCCATAGCGACGACAGCGCAAGGGGGTCCACGCCCCAACATTCCCCAAGCTCGGAGCGGGTGTGTCTACTGCAATGAAGAAAATCACATCAAGAGGGATTGCCCCTATCTCACGGAGGCTTTAAGAATGGGAGTGGTCAAGCTAAATGAGAACAAGTGGGTTGTGTGGGGAGATAGCGGAGAGGCGGTCTCCTTCTATCCATCGATGAAGGTGAACGTGGACAAGAGGGTGGCCCTTCAAGAGGCTAGGCTAGGAAAGAAACCGGAGGCCAGGGGCTCCTCCAGCGCGGCTCACATCCAAATGGTGGAGTCACCCGGAGGGTTGTCCATTAGGGAACCCCAAGTATCGAGCATCAAGTTCATAGATACACAGGCCGAGGAGGAGACGCCCTGCCTAAGGGTGAGGACGCAGGCCGGGGCTGAGACATCTGAAAACCAAGCAAGCGTGACGGAAAGTACGGAGGTAAAAAGCGGCGACAATGACCAGCCAATGGTCGATGCGAAAGTAGCGGAGGAAAAGAAGGAAGAGCCCACCTCGCCAAAATCACCTAAGAAAAGGGGGTCCAAAAAGTTTGAAATGAAGTGCACTCTGGACGAGATAGACACGGTAGCGCCTCTTAGGAGAACTCTGATGCAGCCCATGCAGTGCACACTTTTGGAATATCTAGCCACAAGCAAAAGTGTCAGAGAGGAGCTCCTAAGCATCACTAGGAAGGTTAGAGTCCCGATCGTGTGGGGATCCACGGTGCCGGTGGAAGGCCCAGCCAAGGAGGACGTGCAGGCTTCCCGCATCACCCTGGAGAAACTGTCTGCCAACTTCTTCTCGGGAGAAGAGGCCAAGAGGTTCTATGTGCTAGGTAGCGGCCAGCTCCAGGCGGTAGTGAGTGGGGAAAAGATGAGGGCTCTAGTAGACAATGGGTCCGAGTCTATGGTATGCAGGGACTCCATCACGCTAGAGTTGGGCTTGGAGATAGATCGAGGGGTGTCGATGTCAATGGTAGTGGCCGATAACAAGCTGCAACCAGCCGAAGGGGTGTGTCATAGTCCCGTAATTGAGGTCGCTGGTGTAGAGGCCACGGTTCCGATTTTTTCGGTGAAAGAATGCTCCTCCGAATTGATCCTCGGAAGGACCTGGTTGAGCGCGGTACAGGCAACCACAGTTGATTTGCGCGTGCGGGCGCACACTTAAATATAATATCTGGTCTGGGCGCGCACTTAAAAATAATATCTCATGCTCAATCTGTTGGTCAAATGACAATCGATCTTTGCTTAGGACCAATATACTACTGCTTGCAATTTTGGTGATCTGCGATTACTGCGTGCAAAGCTTGGCCTTCTCTTAGGGCCAGACCACTATTATCATCAGATGAGAGTTGGTCAACAGAGCGTTTGCAGACTCAAAATCAGCTATTTACTAACCACTCAGTTGAAATGGACACCGGTGTTTCTGGTTCGAAATCGGCCATGCATGGCCCTCAGATATGGCGCACACACGGCGCTCAGTTGAAAAATGGCTCTCAGATACGGCGCACAGTTGAAAACGGTTCTCAGATATGGTGTGCTTACGGCGCACAATTGAAAATGGTTCTCAGATATGGTGCGCTTACGGCGCACATTTGAAAATGGCTCTGCACAATTGAAAATAGCTCTCAGATATGGTGCGCTCACGACACACAGTTGCAAAGCTCAAGAATGTCCCTCAATCAAGGTGCGCACTCGGCGCTCAGTTGCGAATAGCTCAAAGTTCAGAAAAGGCCCTTTATCAAGGTGCGCACTCGGCGCACAGTTGCGAATGACCCTCAATCAAAGTGCGCACTCATAGCACGAAGTTAAGAAATAGCCCTCAATCAAGGTGCGCATTCGGCGCACAGCTGCGAATTGCTCAGCTACGGCCTTCAAGTGTGGTGCGCACGCTGCGCACATTTGCAAACTGTGAAAAGCTTTAGATATGGCCCTCAAGTGTGGTGCGCACACTGCGCACAGTTGAGAACTGTGAAGAGCTTCAGATATGGCCCTCAAGTGTGGTACGCACACTGCGCACAGTTGCAAACTGCGAATAGCTTCAGATATGGCCCTCAAGTGTGGTGCGCATACTGCGCACAATTGCAAACTGCGATGTGACTGCGCAATCAGCCTGACATTCGGAGTGACTGCGCAGGCAAAATTAACTTAAGTACTCATAATGGCTGCGCAGGCAAAGTCTCAAAATAGGCTTAATATTCAGTGTGACTGCGCAGGCAGTCTCAAAATTGTCTTGACTGGATATTCGGTGTGACTGCGCAGGCAGTACCATACCTATCAGAAAGCGCAATGTTGCACTTTGAACTGAAGTGCGCACAGTCAAAATCCTCCAAGATCATCAGAGMAAGATTAAATATGCAGTGACTACATTTATTAGAAGTCGTATTTTGCAGTTCGGATGCTCAGTGTCGCATTCTGAGTGCGCACAGTCGCACTCCCTCAAGATCACTTTGGCAAAGCTTTGCAGATCGATTATGTGATATCGCACTTAAAAGTCATGATTTGCGCAGTGTCGCACGTAAATGCGCACCGTCGCAGGGGCACTGGGTGCTCTGAATAAGTTCTCTCTGGCGCAGCAAATTGACATACTTCAGTTGAGTGCCTCATGGCACAACCAATCAACAGGCTCAACTTACATACTCTCTTTGAGCGCCTCTCGGCACASAAAATGAATCGGCATACTCAGTTTGAGTGCCTCTCGRCAYTGCCATTCAGCGGATACAGTGCTCGTCRRCGCTCGTCTCAAAGTCAACCCTCAGATACAGCACGCGAGCGCACAATTCATGGCCTATCATYARATRCAGTGCTCAGGCAAGGTGYGCACGGATCAAATACGGCRTGCACACAACCCATRAAGGGTGAGTGAAAAGAAAYGGAGGCGGTTGGAAAGGAGAGGGGGARASAGGAGAAGAGAAGAGAGAGAMGAGAAGAGGAGAAGAGAAGGGAAGACAAAAGGGAAAGTGAGGGGCAAAAAGGAGAACGGCCATATGGGACAGGCGACTAGGTGAACTCCAGACCCTTTTCCCAGCCAGTCTTGCCCYTCCCTTTCCTTACCTCTTCCCTTGCTTGCCTCCTGCTTGACTCTCTTGCCTCCTGCTCCGAGCTCCCCTCATGGTCCTGCCGGCACGTCGCTGTTCTTTGGCCC